GGTGCGCCCGAACGGCCGCTACACCATCTGATCCTCGCGGGCGGCCGCCCGCTCACGCGGGAGCAGCATCGCGGCGAGGGCGGCCAGGACCGACGCGCCCGCCGCGACGGCGAACGCGCTCGCCGTCCCCGAGGTCAGCGCGACGGCCGTCGGCGCTCCCGCGGCCGTGAGGGTCGCGGCGCGGGCCGAGGCCACCGTCGCGAGGACCGCGATCCCGATCGAGCCGCCGACCTGGCGCGAGGTGTTGAGCAGCCCGGACGCGAGGCCCGCGCGGTCGGCGGGCACGCCGTTGGTGGCGGCCGTCGCGAGCGCGGGGAACGCGAGGCCCATGCCGAGCGCCACCGCGACGCCGGGCCCGAGCACCCCGCCCGCCCACGAGGCGCCCGCGTCGAGCGTGGTGAACCAGGCGAAGCCCGCGGCCGTCAGACCGGACCCGGCGACCAGCACCGGGCGCACCCCGAGCCGCGGCACCAGCCGTGACGACAGCTGCGAGCCGAGCACGATCGCGGCCGACTGCGGCAGGAACGCGAGGCCCGCGGCGAGCGCCTCGAAGCGCAGCACGCCCTGCAGGTGCAGTGACACGAGGTACCACATGCTGAACATCGCCGACGCGATGAGCAGCATCGACGCGTTCGCGGCCGACACCCACCGCGACGCGAACACGTCGAGGGGCACCAGCGGGGCGGTGGCCCGCCGCTGCCACGCCGCGAACGCCGCCAGCATCACCGCCGCGACGAGCAGCCCGCCCCAGACCGCGGGCGACGACCACCCGGCGGTCTCGGTGCGCACCACGGCGAACACGAACGCCACCAGCCCGGCGGTGGCCAGCACGGCCCCCGGCACGTCGAGCCGCCGCGGCCCCAGGTCGCGGCTCTCGCGCACCGCCGCCAGCGCGACGATCATCGTCAGCGCCACGACCGGCACGTTCACCAGGAAGATCCAGCGCCAGCTCAGCAGCGCCACCAGGACCCCGCCGGCGAGCCCGCCGATCGCCCCGCCCAGCCCGCCCATGGCCGCCCACGCGCCGAGCGCCCGCGACCGCGCGGGTCCCTCGGCGAACGACGTGGTGAGGATCGTCAGCGACGCGGGGGAGAGCACTGCCCCGCCGAGGCCCTGCGCCGCCCGGGCGGCCAGCAGCAGCCCGGGGGAGTCGGCGAGCCCGCCCGCCAGGCTCGCCGCCCCGAACAGGCCGAGGCCGACGAGGAACATCCGCCGCCGCCCGTACAGGTCGGCGGCGCGCCCGCCGAGCAGCAGGAACCCGGCGAAGGCGAGCGTGTAGGCGCTCACCACCCACGGCAGCCCGTCGGGCGCGAAGGCCAGCGCGTCGCGGATCGAGGGCAGCGCGACGTTCACCACCGACACGTCGAGCACGACCATGAACTGCGCCAGGCACGCCGCCGTGAGGACGAGGCCGGTGCGGGGGCTGCTGGGCACGGAACTCGACGCTAGCCCGTCGTTAGGGTGGGCGCTCGTGGCACGCAGCGACGGCAGGTCCGACGACGAACTCCGCCCGATCAGCATCGAGCGCGGCTTCCAACAGCACCCCGCCGGATCGGTGCTGGTGTCCTTCGGCGGCACCCGCGTGCTGTGCGCCGCGAGCGTGACCGAGGGGGTGCCCCGCTGGCGCAAGGGCAGCGGGCTGGGCTGGCTGACCGCGGAGTACGCGATGCTCCCCTCGGCGACCCACTCGCGCAGCGACCGCGAGTCGGT